TCTATTTAATATATATATATATTTAATATATATATATGTATTTAATATATATATATCTATTTAATATATATATATTTAATGTATATATATATATTTAATATATATATATACACATGTAGTATATATAAATATATATATATATTAATTATATATATATGTATTAAATACAATATTTAATATGTAATTTTCATACAATATAGTATATATATATTGTTATATTATTTTATTTTTATGTTTTTATATTGTTTTATTTTTGTACCACTGTTTTTAAATATTTTTTTTTATTATTTGCATTATATTATTCTTTTTACATTACTATATTAATTTTTATGTTATTATATTGTTTAATTGTTATATCGTTGTATTCTGAAATTACTCTATTTTTATTTTATTATATTATTATAGTGTTTTTTTATTTGTTAGATCATTTTATTTTGAAATTATTATATAATTGTATTATTTGATTATTATATTGTTATATTATATTCACTTGCTTGGGATTTCAATCCATCAGACGTAAATCCCTGCTATGGTTCAGTCAAATTTATCGAACAGTAATGGCAGCAATGGTTCTGCAGTCAGCCCAAAATGTAGATAACACCTCTAGTCATGGGTGTGTCAACAAAATGTAGATAACACCATGGACCAAAATTGTGTTTTTCTTGCTGATTCTCTTCTTTCTTGGAGACACAACCCAGCAGAAAGTTGGAATCAATGCAGACATAAGTGATGTGAAACAACATCAATTTCGGATCTAGCCAAAAAGAACGAGTAAGCAACTAATCAATGACGGATGTAGGCGACCATGAGATGTGTATGACAATGTATTCCAGGGTATATAAGGGGAGCACAAGCAGCATACATAAACACACAATGGTACATACAGCAACACCCCTGTGTATTTCAAAGTCATCCAGGCACTTGAGCACAAGTAGCGTCAATGAAGTGGCTGGCACGTCAATCCAGACAGCATGAATCACATGCTAAGGTCTGAGGCCACGCATACTTGCGGATGTGGTTCTCTAACTGCGATCACTAGACATGCAAGGCCCCAGTTATACTTGGGTAGTTGGTTCACCCCAACAAAATATCTGGCACATACGTACAGCATAGTCCACGTCTTTGGATCATCTTTCTGGGTCAAGCCACTCGAGCTTTGAAAACGCTGGCAGGAGTCCCGACCGCCATGGGGGCAAACTCCTGTTGCTTCACTTCAGAGAACCTCAGAGACGAGGCGCTGAATCCAAGGAACCCTGCTCAATATGGTCCATTGGACATGGATTTTCATGAGATACCCTCTGGCAATTTAACGTAGCTATTGAAAATGGCCATTTATAGTGGATTTACCCATTAATAATGGTGATTTTCTATTGCTACGTTAGTTTACCAGAGGGTAGTTTTCTTGGGACTGGGGGGAAATATGGCTACAGCCGAAATTCAATGTGATGGAAGCATGATGGGGTTAAGCGTGTTTGGCACCTTTGAGGCCTTGGGTGTACCACAGCCACGAAACTGTCAGGCGAAAGCGCAGTTGAATGGCGGCATCAAGGAGCACTTTCTCGGACAGCTCTGCATCTTTTGGAAGTATTGGATGGTTTTGAAAATGGGCCAACATATCCAACATTAAGGATGTAATATGATGTAATCCTGGATTTCATGGTTATTTCTTGTACGGACAACATCATGTTTGGATACACCCATGTATCCCCACTGTTTATCGCAAGATTCTTCCGAATGCAGGGTGACATGCAACGTCTTGCGGCAAGTGGACCCAAGTTTTGTCGCATCAGGATGACAAGCACGTGCAGTTTAGCGGGGAGGTTCCAACGTTCGCATGGTCAAGAATGTGGCAATTTTGGAATCAATCTCCTTTGTGTATACCCTGCAGTAAACCAACATAGCTATGGAAAATGGACCATGTATAGATGATTTACCTATAAAGATAGTGATTTTCCGTAGCTATGTTAGTTTACCAGAGGGTACGTGTTTTCAAGTTTGGAGGATGGGGGAGCACAGAATTTTCATTTTCCGAAGAAAATATCAGGACTCCACGCGGCAGCGCACTATTGATCTTCCGAATAAATCAAACAACGGAAGTATCCATGGCACAGATGTAGACTTTCCTGAAGCGATGCGCTTGCATGACCATATCAACAGTGCAACAGTTGCAAGGATTTTGCTGGTAGAGCGATCAGAGCTTGAAAACTATATAGGCTGTAGCAAACTCTATGAACGCAGAAAAACATACGCTTTAATTTGTTGATTAAATGTTCACGTTTTATTCCTTTTATCCTCGGTGGTTCATCACTTCTCACTCCAGGCAGAAGGGAAAGTAGGGAATGAGGTGAAGGCGGCTCGTGCGAAGGCGGGGATTGCACTAAGGTCGCTGGGGCAATAAAATTTTGTGTAACCACTGTAACCAGCCATGTAGTAATACCTTCCCCCTATATTGAATAATATTCAATATCACCCAGAAACCCTGGTTTAGGGTTGGATCTATTCATGAGACCCATACACTAAGCAAGACGGAATTCGAGCAACCAATTTAAGCAACTGCGAATGGGACTTCAAGTTTGAACAACAAGAACGGAGATGACAAAGCATGATGAAGAGTTGCTTGCAGAGCTTGTTTGGGCCATTGTGTAATATATTTTTTCTTGAGTACTTTCGCTCGGACTTTCTCACCTCGAACTCATCCAGCCCAGCTACAGTAGGGCTGCACATTTTCAGGATCGAAAAGGCACCGGCTATGTCAAACCCGAGATGTTCAAAGACTTGGTGGACGAGGTGCGGCTGTGATGGTAACTGAATTGTCAACTGAGTTGGAGATTGTGAGCTGCCATGGTGTGGATTATCCCCCCATAACGCCGGTTACGACCAGGGTCAACAACGAGGTTTGGTTAAAAAAATCCAGCTACATCCTGTGTGGTGGGACAACCCAAGTAATGGTTGGCCACAATACCTTCAACTAGGAATTGTCCTATTCAGCAGAGCAATTGCCTACCTGCAGGAAGATGATTAGATGAGCACCAAACGATCCACGAAGAAGAGGTTGGTCCTCCACTGCGCAGCCTGTAGGTCTGGCACTGCACTTTAGGTTGTTGGATTTTTTGGACCACTAGAATAAGACGAATTATATAAAGTTATAGAAGTCTATTAAACTATCTCATTTCTTCGCTGGTTCCTATACACATATCTGCGCATTTGGTGGACATGCCTCACTATCGCGGTGCGTGATCAGCGAAAATGTCTAGGAAGCAAAGGCAAGTACAAGTCCTAGTTTTCGATCTAACCCATGTGGAAAGCAGCTGCCTCCACTCATGCAGAAGGTTCTGTTTCCTTTACCCATCCTGCAAAGATCAGACAATAATACAATCCAGTGAATTCTCGGCAAATCCCAAACCTTCAAGTTCTGATTTGCATCATGATTCTCTCACTATTAATTTGGCAAACCCACTCATATACACCCCATTTGGGGATGATTTCACCATTGATGGCATTGAAGTGGGGTATGGCATTGGGTTTGCCAGTTTAATTAGGTTGAATGGTTGAATTGAGCCTTCATTTTGTTTGGGTACCTGCGACCCTGCAGGTTTGGGCGAGCTGGCTGAACAGCATCTGGCAGATGTCCACCAGTGTCGCGATGAAGGCATAGGCAACTACGGTCTTTTAAGCGTTTCCAGAATCATTTGGATATGAACGAAGCACGACATTTGAACATGGATACCCTACTAACTAGTTCGAGCGATACCAAAGTGGCAGCAAAAATCCTGGAGTCACATTTTCCACCATAGCTTCAGCATCGAGAATTTCTGTGAAATTGGATAATTTTTTCAGACCTCCGCGCGATGTGGATACGTCCATGGACTGGCAGAGTGGAGCCTCCCAAAAATTTCAATAACTTCGGGTTGAGGACGAGACAGTCTGTGAGACCTCCAAGTAATACCATTGCTGTCACTTAAGTGACCCGTGTTGCAACAGTGCAACATAGGGAACAGCTTTTGCGGGCTCGAATGTGGCTGACTTGCATTTTCAAAGCCTTATGTACTACAATTCTCAAGGTGAAGGTCCAACTTCATACAGCTTGGATTGAGGACATAGTTATGTGTGTTTCCCATTGGAGATCAAACTGCTAGGCCCCAAACCGTAAGACTTCTAAGATATGGCATATTTCCAGAGATGGCAGCACGAATGCATTGCTTACATCCGCCATGATGAGCTCGCGGGCCTTCTGCTGAGCTTCGGGACCGAACTGATGATGCTAATCAGTGAATCTCATGCACCTTAACCCAATGCTAATCAATTCAAACAGACATGAGATCCCGAGCCTCAGCATCAAGTTGTTTCACCAGTGAGTGCTTCTAGGCACTACACTTACAAAGTCGTAATTTGGCCGGAACTGAAGCATGAGATTTTGCACCTTTTATCTGTTAGTTGCTTTTGGTCACAGTTGCAATTCCTGATGGAGTTCTGACAAAATTCTGCCAGTGCTTGGGCAGATAGTCTGCAAAAAAGCTATTTGTATCTATTTGTAAACTAACCATTCGGACACATTTCTGGGTCAAACTCCAATCATCCGTAGACAACAAATTCCAAGAGATGCACCATTCATTTCCGACCTGCGGATGTTGATACACGCTACTGCGGCTCCCGTTTTGCGAATGCTCTTCGAATCTTTAAGATTTCGAGAAAAGACGGCCTCTTTTCTTTGCAGCATCAACTCGGTGGATCCATCGCTGTGACGCTGGCCACTTATCTGCTGGCTTCCCTTTGTTGGCTCAGATGGCGGGGTTCTGATGGAACCCAGGCGGGGCCTGATGGATCAGAAACTTGGATGGGGCCCCGTTTTTTTTTGGGCTTTCCGAAAGAGGTACTGTACCCCAAGTCACGGTCATTTGACCATGACTTGGTATAGGCATTAAAGAGGTATTCAATGGTATAGCTTAAGCCATGGTGACCCATGGTGATCCACGATCCATAGTCTCAGGTGCAGCCCCTCCATGTCGCGGACCACACCCATTGTCATCCAGGCTGCAACGTGGCAATGGGCACAAGCCTCCACCTGTAACCATGCTTGTCCTATCCCACATAGTGATGCTTCATTGGGATCTTAGGTTCCCATGGAGTGCGAATTTCATATTTTCGTGGTGGAATTTTGAGTGTAACTTTGTGACATCGGCTGTCGGATCAAAACTAAAGAGCCTGTGACCCACACTTTGCCCGGAGATTTGGAAGAACGCGATCCGATCTTTGGGTCTAGAGTCCTGCACCAAATCACCATCAAACAGTCAAGATTGAAATCTTTTGGAGGACCCCCATAGACCATCAAAGTCTTGGAATCGAAGCAACAAACATCGGCTGCTGCCAGTTGAAGAAGCGCACAGCGCCCGGAGCCACACCGCCTAGCGAAGATGTGGAAGAAGCGGATGCTGGTCGGGGGACGCAGAAGAATTGGTACTTTTGGGGCTTGGAAACGTTCACAATGTTGTTTGGTTGTTCAATGGTGCCGAACAGCATCAAATAATTGTGGTTGGTAATTAACATATCCCATGAAATCCCCATGAAGTCCCTATTGTTGATGGCAAAATCCCCATGAAATCCCTATTGAAATCTCGATGTTTCTGGTGCCAGGAGGAGAAGCTGTAGAAAATGAAGCCCCAGCCGAGGGGGAGGCGAGGCAAAAATTGGATGCCGTTTGGGGACGGTTTAACGCCATTTGTAGCCATTGGATCCACCGGACACCTCCATGATATGGAACAACATGGGGATTTTTACTCATTGGCTTTACTGGTTTCTACATTTCAGAGTTTAAATTTGTTGTGAAATGGTGTCCTGTGAAAAGGTGAGACTTCTGTAGAGGAGATGTTTTGGGATCGAAGCAGCATGGTTTCAGGGGCCTGTTTGAGGTCTCAAAGTTTGCTTCCACCATGGCCCCCTCTAGTCCAATGCGGAATGGTGCGGAATGAAGTTGCTCTGACGATTTTCTGTCCGATCATCACCATCCACGAGTGGAAAGGGGATTGCTGAGCTTACTATCCAGCAACCTTGGTTCTCAAGTCATTGGGTGTACACCGTGATGGGAAAGCAAGCATGGTCACGAGGTTGCGAAACGAGCAACCAGTTTTCATTGAAAAACGACCCAAAACATTGGATGCTCAACAACCCAAACATTGGATGATAAAGCCCATGTCTGATGACCCAATTTTTCATGGGAAAACCCATCGGTTTTCGGTCCAAAATCGCACGAGGACCGCGCTCGTAGCAACTCCGAAGCGTCCTCGGAATCTTCCAGTCATTCCAAGGACGCGGTGCGGCTAAGTTTTGTTTTGGGTTGGGGGGTTTGGAACCATTAACAAGACAGATTTCATGGGATTTCATGGGATTTCATGGGATATTTCTGATATTGGTGGCCGTGGGACAGCATTTTGTTTCGGAAGGGTTTCTAGATGATCGCATCTGGGAACCAGGCGACCATAGATTCTGGGGGACCACAACTTGACCCATCTTGACCCATGTCCAACTGGGTATGGGTTAAAATGGTTAAAACCTATCATGTCATACTTTAGGGAATGAGCATTGACAACTAACAGCTATTTGGTCCTAGCAGGGTTTTGATCCATATCCAGATGTTTGTGTGTATTTTTAAACGGTCCATGCCCATTTGGAGCTTTCAGCATCGTTTTCCTTTTCTGCAACCAATGAATGAATGATTGGTTTGTGGTTTCAATGTTTTGCAATACTGCAAGTGCAATTCCAACTAAGGGTTTTGACTGGTGTCATTGTCTCTTGGTTGGTGGTTTCAGATCTGTATTTTAGAATCCAACCCTGTCCAATTGATAGTCATGTTTTTGGAGGGGGTGACTCACCAACCAACAAGTAACTAGTCTCATTCTGGAAGAACTCTCAAGGAACACATAGCCATACTTTGCGGGTGTAGCTCCTTGCTTCTCTATCCTGGTTGCTGGAAGAGACTCCTCCGTTTTGTGCAGGGCAATGCGCGAGCCAAGGAGCAAAACGGGATGAACAGATGGGCTGTTCATTTTGGGACCAGCGGATCATTTATTGCACAGTTGATGTTTAGTAAAAAAAAATCACCCGTTTTTCAAAGCTTTTGAACTCAGGCATTTGGGATGTGATTGTGGGACAACGCAAGATCACCAGAAGTGGACAGGTGAACACCCATCTAAGCTATCCTGACGACATGGTACTGCGTGAATGGGTACCTTCCACTTACCAGCAGATAGGTGAGTGATTTGCAAGTAGCCAATTCAGTGGATTCCTGACTTCTCTGAAGCTTGGCCCAACTTTGATCCAACAGAAACTCGGCCAGGAGCCCACCGGACCAGTGGCCAGAATCTCAAAATCCAGGGGGTGCCACCGGTTGTCGCCCAGCAGCTTCCCGGTCCCCATGAGGTCGGCGGGTTTGCCTCGGTGGATTCACCCATGGACCTGCAGAGTTTGGGCGAACTCTTCCGGAAACTCCATGAAGAGGTGCGGAATTCAATGCGGAAAAACCGGTGCCGGTGGTCTGATCTTTGGATACTTCCAGGAGATGGCCATTCATGTGGAATATGATGATAGACCGGTGGACTTTAGGGACCATGGCGAAGCACGTGTTTGGACAAACCCATTTGGAAGATGAGATTCTTCTGAAGATTGTGAATGTAGATTTTCTATGAATTTCTGGGATAGTTCTCAGGATCCTTTTTATTGACCACTGCATTTATTGCTGAGTGTTGGAACGGATCCTCGCTCTGGGTCAGAATCTTACGCCCCTCAAACCGTAGAATGTGGTTACTTTGAGTAAAGTTTCCAATTATGTGGATCCCCAATTTTGATATACTGTATCAGGATGGGAAAACTATCAAAAGCAAACGGCATCCTCTGTGGAACCTGGATTTGCAGCCCTGTCAGGTTGATGTGACTCCAGCATGATTGGGGACGTGAGCTGTGGGCGCGTGCTGGTGTTTCCACTTCCCAGATCACGTGGGGTGTTTCAAACATGTGCTATGAGAGGAAAACATGGTGGTACATGCAACACATCCTCCAAAAAACTGCTGCGTTAGTCTGAAAATTATGCTACCGCCAATTCCAGTGAATGATCATCACTTTCCACCACTTTCCCTATGTTTTCCCTATTATTTCCCTATAATTCCCCATTATTTCCCTATTGGTTCCCTATTATTTCCATATTATTTCCATATTATTTCCCTATTATTTCCCTGTTATGTCCCTATTATGGCCCTATCATGTCCCTATTATTTCACTTTTATTATTTCCCTATTATTTCCCTATTATGTACCTCTTATTTCACTATTATTTCCCTATTATTTCCATATTATTTCCCGATTATTTCCCTATTATTTCCCTATAATTCCCCATTATTTCCCTATTATTTCCATATTATTTCCCTATTATTTCCCTATGATTTCCCTATTATTTCCATTTTCGTAAAACTATTTTTTCCGTATTATTTCCCTATTTTTCCTTATTATTTCACTATTATATATTTCCCTGTTGTTTCACTATTATTTCCATATTATTTCCCTATTATTTCCCAATTATATTTCCCGATTATTTCTATTTAAGAAAAAATGCTATGATTTTCCTTTTTTTTTTTTTTCCATATTTTCCCTATTATTTCAATATTTTTTTCACATGTTGTTCCTTTATTATTTCCATATTGTTTCCATATTATTTCCCTAAAAAACCATCGCCGCTCTAAAAAACGCCAGGCCTTTGCCCGACGCGAGTCCGGCAAACTCCTGGACATGGAGAAGCGGAATCGCCAGGTGCGGCACGGGGAAAATACCATACAGTAATATAGTATGGTGCCCCCCAGTTATAAGTTGGTTTATAAACCCCATTAAGTATAGTTATATCTGCCATAAACCATAGTTATGGGAGTTATAAACCAACTTAGCTAACTATGGTGGTACCCCAAATCATCCAAAATTAGACTATTTTGATATTAAAAGCCATGGTTGAAATGGGTACCCCCATTTCAGGAAACCACCATATAGCATGTAGGATTGGGATATATGATGATATAATGATCTTCTAATGAATGGAGCAAAATGGGTTGATTCCCCACTTGGTTTGCCCATGGTTTTAGTGAGTTATTTTGATACCCCAATAGATCTGAAATCATCTTGGAGGTCCAAAAATTTGACCCGTAATGAACTTGAAGCACGAGCCAAGGCCCGTGCATGTCAAGGCGTTTGATGGAAAGCCGACCATATTGCGAGATTGCGTTTGACTACAGGCATCATCAAAGTGGGTATCAAGGTATTTGAGAAACAGCAAACAAAGCATCCGGTTTCACTGAAAGTCTGGCTTTCAAAGGGTCCTTGGCCGAGGAACGACTTGGGCAACCCATGGGATACTGCAGATCTGGCTGGTGGTTTCAATTTTTTTCCAGGTGACTCAAGCACTGAGCTGAAAACGGCCTCTGTGGCTCAGGCTGCGCAAAACTTCAAGGAGGCGTATGGTCTCGTAACTTGGAGGCCGAGGTGTGATGGCTAAGAGTTGCAGAGGTTTCAAACGAACCTCCCCCGAGAAGGGTGATGTCCATGCCAAGAATAGTCATTCATGATGTTCTTGGGCTCTCGAACCAGTTGATTTTCTTAATGGATGGCCCGTCTTGGACCAGGACGACATGTCATATCGAGAATTGGATGTAGATGTATATAGACATATATAGACATAAATAAACATGTGTATATATATATATATGGGTTCATACATAATATATACATACATATGTATTTACATGTATATATGTATATATGTATATATATATATATATAATACATACACATACTAAGGCTGGTCAGACCCTAGGGTTGATACTACCTGCCCAAAACGCTTTAAGGCACGGAGCTTCTTAGAAGAATATGGTCCTGAAGGCGGCTTGCCCGGGGCCACAGCCAGCTTGCAGGGCAGGTTCAGCAAGGTCTTAAGAATTCGAGAATTTGTCACCTCAGAGATGGGTGAGTGAATGAACATGTGAGGTATGTATGAAATACATTGTAATGCGTGCAAAAGAAACATGGCTAAAAATATCACATGTTCACGTCATGTTTCATCTTCTAAGGCCGGACAGTGATGCTGGTGGGAGCCCTGGTCTCCAGGGTCCTGCAGCCCCTGGCAACCAACTCAACTGAGCTTCGAAAGCCACGACTGGGTAAAGGAAAACCATCACACTTTCAGACATGAACAATATAGCGTGCCATAGAAGAATAAAAGGTGTTTCAACCAAATGTTGGAGCCAACAAAAAGTGGGCAGCACACCCATCCAGAGTGGCTGGTGGAAAAAATAATCGGATTCCGCAAATCCAATTGGCGCCATGGAAGCGGTCGATGTTTTGCTGAAGGGCTGGGTGGAGCGCTTGCAGGGCCTCCGACGCATCCACTGGGGCACGCCGTCGGAGGAACCCACCAAGCTGGAGGCAAAACATGGGGAGTCCTGGGGAAAGATTTCGAAAGTCTCCCGAATTTTGGGAGGTGAGGTTTTGGCATGGTTCGTTTTTTTTTGGATTCCAGCATGTTGACATTGAATTGAAATGTAGAAATGGGATCAAATGGGCATATTTTCCATTTAGGTTCATTTACCTTAATTTTTACAGGCCCCTAAACAACAGATTAGTTTGGGATGATTTGGGATTATGATTGTCATTTCGAACAGTAGGATCTTGACGTATACCCGCTTCGGAGAAGGTCAACTAAGCAATTCTGGCCGCGGATAAACCGGAAGATGGGCATGGTTCAATTTGGAGACCCCAAAGGTTTGGAGGATGTGATCATGTCCAAGAGGTGGGGGTCAATCCCAGAGATGAGAATCTGACAGTGGGAAAAAGTGAGGGCCTTGATGCAGATCAAGCGTCACTGAAATGGCCTCAAGAATCGTAAGTTCAAAAGTCTTCAGGATACAAACGTAAGCACAACAATAGTGCCTGTACAGTCCAAATGGAAGGTATGACGAAAGTAAATGCAGTAGGGATTTTTGACCTCAATGCGGAAAAACCGGAATGGTGTCCTAGCTTTCCATCTAATCTAGGAATCCCATGAATTGCTTCTGGAAGAATCTTGTACTGCATTCTTTGGTTTGGGTAGTGTCCAATTTCATTCTTGCGATTCTGTTCACTTTGACTTGAATTTTCAATAACCTGCTAAGCTCATTTCTTTTTTAGAACCAGCATTTTTTTTTGGCACAGGAATGGCTTTATGTTGGTGGTAACTTGGCGAACCTCGGTCCCGGAGCATGGGCAAAGTGGTTCCGCGGCGAAACGATGGCATGGATCAACCACAGGGTACCAATGGAGCCACATGGAGCCACAGATCAACCATCCCCCAGTCATCACCATAAAGTAAAAAAAGGTGGTATCGTTAGCATTCCCAGGAAAATGGGTGGTAAAAATATGGCATTGTTTTATCATGTTTTATCCACATGAGCATTGAACCATCCAATCTTTTGGGGACCATAGCCCCATAGCCTAGGTTTGAAGAGCACCCAGAGGTCACGCATGTGGTGAACTGTGCCTGCAAGGACGTGAAGTATAGCGTCAAGGCGACTTGGCCATGAGAATCCATTGAGGTTGGGATGCGATGTGTAGAATCTGTTGAAGGTCATTGAAGGTCCATTTTTTGGGAGTCACTAGCTCTGGGATGGACGGTCCGCTGCTGCAAATTGTCCAAGGACTCGGTCTCGGTTCTGAATCTCCCAGCTTTGGATGAGGAGGGCTTTGAAACTTGGATTACTGGTGATGGTGAGATCCACAGGCAGGTGGGGAACCATGGGGAACCTAAAATTGAGCACAGCTCCGGCGGTTTTTCGCCCGGCCAAATAGAATCGGATCGGCCCTGACAAGTTCACAGGCTTTTCCCCTCAATGGAGCCCTACAAAGCTTTTTCGTTCTTAGTGGCTTTGTAACCCCATTTACCCTCTGGTAATTTAACATAGCTATTAAAAATGGCCATTAATAGTGGATTTTCCCATTAAAAATGGTGATTTTCCATAGCTACGTTAAATTACCAGAGGGTAGCTGGTAAAAAACTGGGGGATCATTGTGGGTTTATTCATAGTTTCATGATCCATCGAAAACTGGTGGTCGATGACTGCTGCCTGCCTCGCAGCATGGAATTTGCCGACCGGAGCTGGGATTCCAAGTGTATTACGTATAGAACAATATGTCTGCCAACGTGTCTGCACATGTGTACTGTATATGTATATACATATAATTACACACACACATATATATATATACAGATATAATATAAGTATATGACTATATATATGTAACGTAATATCTCTAATATCTCTATGTCTCTATGTATATACGGGACCCCATTTTGTAAGCTGTGGCGTCCATCACAGAATTTGGCACCGAAGTTCGCCCTGAGGATCTCTTCTCGTTTTGGCCGAAGGTGAAGGACTATACCCTGGAAGCCCCCGGGGCAACTTGGACGGACTTGGGGAGGGTTGACCTGCACCATATGGGGGGAATTTTTCCAACGCGGTTGGTTTCAAAATGGTTGCATCCACAGAGCTGAAAGGCCAAAGATGCGCACCAAAAAAGAGGTGGTCCCTCAGCTATCTTTCTCTTGCTGGGTTTTGGCAGTCTTTGCAGGGAAACAGATGGTTGAACGTATTACAATTTTTGGACCGACATGCCAAAATGATTGCCAGAAGGTTGTAAGCCAGCCACTGATCACTACCAACTGCTTCCCAAATGCAGAATGGCTCATATGTATGGGCGGCTATACACTACAACCTACCAGATAGCGAATGACTAACCACTAGGAACGTATCATCACCTGAAGAAACCCATTGGTTGCTCCTAGCGAGATGGAAGGTCCACTGCTTGAGCCCGCATGATGCCCCATGGGGCTCCCCAATTTTCTCTTGCGCAACCCGAAGATCTACATTCTCTGTTGCACAGCTATCAAATCCTAGCAGTATCAGAGTTTTTATTATAATATATTATATTATATATGTATATAAACATAGAATCTTTCTTCTTTAATCCTATCTATACGACCTACCCATTCTTGGCCTGAATTTTTCATGGCCCTGTGCAGGTTCTCTTCCATTGCCAGGCAGGGGTCAATCGTAGCGCAACATTGGCTCTGGCCATTTGGTGTGTCCGGGAGCAGCGACCACTGCTTCAGGTGCTGGGCCAAGGGTGGCTTGGTGGCAGGGTACCTACCCCATGGCAATAGCCCTAGGCCTATGATTAAACACTCCCAGAACCGCGGTTTACTAGGCGATTTACACATATTTTGGGACCATGGGATGAAGCTGTTTGACCATGGGTTGGGGGTGTTTCATACTCTGGGGGACGGGATTATTGGAGGAAATCATCCATATTTCAGAGAACCCAAATATTGAACTTGTTGTTATGGCTATGGTCCCAGGGACACAGAGGTTGAGGATGAGCAGACCCTACAAATCTACTGGTGAATCATCATATTTCCCTTTTTTGATTTCAAATTGTGGGAAAATCCTCAATTGTCAGCTCCGCAACAGCTGGAGGTTGCAAAAGAGACCGGGGATGCTGCAGAACCGCAGCTTCCAACGGCAACTGATCCAATGTGTTCATAGAGAAGGATGGGGGGTTTAAGCTTCTCGGGGTTTATCAAACTTGGGACTTATCAATTTACCACCCTTTGGAAATGTAACATTAGTAATGTAACATAGCTATGGAAAATGGCCCGTTCTACTGTAGGTGCTTACCTATTAAGAATAGTGAGTTTCCATAGCTATGTTGAATTACCAGACGGTAACCATTTCAGTTTGGTGCCTGACAGTTTCAGGAAGATCCCCAATCCGTTGGTTTTGAACATGTTTTTCCGAACGATTTGATGGCCATGACATGTGGCATCCCCCAATTTGTGCGACTGTTTCTTTGGGTCGATGTCCTTTTCCCACTACTTGGTTGATAGAGGGGTACCCTTCCATTTTCCGCAATCAAGAGGTTATTAATGTAAGTCGTATATACCAAACCGACCTCAAACCATTTTTTCCTAAGTTGAGACCTCATTGCTTTGTTAGGCTGTTGTTAATATACCAACATTGTCACCATTCTGTTGGGCTTTTCAGGATGGAAGCAGCAGGGTACCAGGGTTTGTAAACCAATCCTCCTTGGCTTTCGCGTCCAGGAGTCTTGGGGTCGCAGGAGGATGTGGATGCGTGGCATGCTGAGATGGACGGCTATCAGAAGCAGGCGAAAAATGCGGGGAGCATCAATTTGGAATAATGTGCTTAAACAATAATACACCACCCATTTGGGAATGGTTTATACCACCTATTAATGGTGATGACTGGGGGATGGTTTATGGCATTGTTTTACCCACATTACCTGAAAGATGGGCCCTTACGAGGTCCAAGTCACTTATGCCCAAAAGATTCACTGTACATCTAGGGTTGAATGAACCTACCATGACCCACTCTTCAGTGGGCAGAAAACTGACACCACCTGGGACCATCAGTAGAGCTTTCAGGGATATTTTTTGTTGATTACTACCTTGCCCATTACCCATTACTAATTTTTCTTGCAAATGGGCCGTTCATGTTGGTACTACAAGGCTCACCCAAAAGACCGACAAACGAATCATCAAAAAAACAGTAGGTCCCGCTTTTCTGTGTATTTGAGGACCCTAGAAGACACCTCCGATTCAATTCTTGGTGCTCAAATCTACTTTTCTTCGTTACATCCCCATTTTTGATTAATCAAGATCATCTTAGCTGGTGAAATAATTTGTTCCTGGTGAAATCAGTTGAAATCTCTGCACAAATCCACACTTGCGGCTTTCCTAAGATAGGGGTCCCCCCAAATCATCTTTTTTTTTTGGATCTTCCATTATAAACCATTCATCTTTGGGTACCCAATGGACCTTGCATTTTTGTAGGTGAACTCCCCTCACTTGGCTGGGTGTTCCAAGCCCTCCCGGTGCTCGTTTTGGCGTCCACACAGGTGCACCGAGTCTTTGAACTCTTTGCGTCAGCCTTTTGGCGTGACTAGAATCCAGCTATATGTGAGATATCCCATGATACACATGTATATATATATATACATATATATATATGAGTATCCAGCAAAATTATCAGCATTTGAAAGTAGTAGAGAGCTGCCTTGAACTTTGCTTGCCTTCATGAAACCTTCACAACCGAAAGGGGACGACCCAGCACCGGTACCCCTAGATTCCAACAAGTTCCCACGATAATTTGCCGTAGTTTGTTTATTTCTACAGCAACGGCTACAAACAAGGCTGTAAACAGCTACCTCAGCTAGCTTTCCGCCTATAGGGCACGAAACATATTGTTTACGGCAATTCATGCGCCATAATGCTGCTGCTGCTGCTCCTACTACCACCACCGCCGCCGCCACCACCACCACCACCACAACCACCACCACCACTGCTACTGCTACTGCTACTGCTACCGCTACCTGCTACCGCTACCTGCTACCGCTACCTGCTGCTGCTGCTGCTCCCACTGTACAGCTACTGCTAGTACTACTAGTAGCACTTGCTACTGGATGTTACCAAAGAAGGAAAACCTTCACAACCCATAGGGGACGACCCAGTTTTGCTCGTGGCAATTACGAGGGAACAAATAATTTTGTCCGCCATTCATATACATATACACACACACACACTTGTGTGTGTGTATATGTATATAGGTATAATACATATATGTATATATATATATATGTATGTAGGTGTATATATATATATGTAGATGTAGCGCTAGTCAAGAATTCATAAAACGCCGCAACGAAAGTTACAAGCGGCCGACAGAGAAGAACATTAGCTTTGTATGTATATATACATATATATATAGAGTATATATTTGAGTATGGCTCAATGGCGAAAAAATATTAGCAACGACCCAAAATGGATGGTTACATACTCGAACGGGCAAATTTTGTGGGTCCACTCGAACCCTAATTCTGAGCCAAAATCATTTGGGAACTCAGTAAAATTGAACTGCGAGGGACTGGCTCGAAAGTGGGTTCGGTGAAGAATCGAAGGGTCGAGTACCAGAAACCAGCAAAATCCCAATGGCCTCTGGGTTGTGATTTTTGACCCATACCCAGCAGGGTATATGTTACATGCTCCGTGCAGATGACGATTTTCCAGACTTGCGATGAAGTCCCGCACCGGGATGATCTGATGATCGGTGGAGTTTCTAAATGGCAATGGCTTGGAAAAATGGTCACCACACATCACTAGGATCACCATATGATCCTCAAAAAACAAGATTTTTGTTGGGTAAATCTCCATCATATCCCCACCATTCAGGACGGAGTTGCCAACTTTGATCTCTTTCAGAAGGTCATGCAATCTGTGAAAGAGAATGCCGAGGAGATGGGGGCAAAGTTTGATTGGAACATTTGAATGGAGATAGAGTCTCCAGTGAAGCAGTGAAGCTTAGCCGCCAAGCGGGGGTCCCCCAGGATCAGTGGAGGCGCATGATGATGTACAGGCTGGGACGTCTGAGAAAGCTAATAGAGCACCCACATTTCTCACAACGACCGGGAGAATGGATGTAAATGGTTTACCAAACCGGTCTTCGGGGCCTTTTTTTTCCAAGTTGAGACCTCATTGATTCTGCATTGTGTTGGAAGTTTGAATGGCTGATTGGTCCCTGGCACTTGCTTGGTAAACAAACACGGAATCAAGAAATCAATACAAACAAAAGGAGGATCCTCTTGAAAACTTTTTTCCCCAGCGTTCTAGGCCACGTCAGTTCGAGGCTTTCCACTATTACGATATGCCAGGCCTCTCGTACCTGTGGCTGGCGGGCAGCTTTCAGACACCGTGGACGAGGTGCGGGTAAGGGGTGTAGTGAGTTGCGGGATCACCTGCCACTTGGAAGGGTTCCACCTTCTGATTGGAACCTGGATGAAACATAATCTGGCCTTGTGAAGTTCAGTGTTTCAGATCATCAACTCTCAGCATTTTTTCTCCTGAAAAGATCGTCCCCGGGCCTTCAACCTGAGCTCAGCAGTTCAGGCCACGGTGGAAAAGTGGCTTCAGGCCTCCACGGAGATCTTCCGGAAACTGCTGGATCTGGTTGCTGGCTGATGCCCAGCCGTGCCGCGTTTCAAAGCTCCAGTGTACAGGCTTGGTGCGGCGCAAAAAAGCGGCTTTGGGATGGAAGGACGGTCTCTGTACGGGCCTGGACCAATTGTCTTGCGCTGCTGGCGACTCATCTGCTGACAGATCCAATGTCTGGCGGTTCTACTTCAATTGGTATGTAAATATGTGGGGATGGGTCAAAACCTATCATACTGTATTTAGAAGGGATGAACATCCATTTACCAGGTAACAGGTAACAGGGTTTTAACCCACAGCCATGTATTCCAAAGTCCTTCAGATTCTAAGGTGGAAGCGACGAGAGTGAAGATGGTGAGGGTCCGCGGGGTCGGCGGGGTGGCTGCAACCTTTCTAGTGCATTTTGCTCGGAAGACTCAACATGTCTCTGGGAATTTTCGAAGTTTTAGTAATTATTTCTTTTAAGGGCCCTGTAGCTCATGATGACTGGGGTTTGTGCATCCCCCAGTTATGTGGGTGCCACAGTATTATATATATATGTTGTAAGACCATTTGTATTTCTGATCGAGACCCATTATTGTGCAGGTGACACTCGCCGGCGGAGGTTGGGTCTGCTGGGGGATTGGTAAATCTGGAAACAAATTGGGACCTTGTTCTTTGCATCGCCTTGGAACTAGCAGTACACGGCTTCTCTCAAAATGGGGGACACCCCCCAAATTAGACTTTGAATGGGAAACATGATGATAAACTCGTAAGCGCTTGGATTTTGGGGGTCAAATCAAGCTTGGAGACAGAAGCAAGTGTGACCTGGACCACCCAACTGATCCCCAATCCGCACCTCGGCGCCCATCGAGTTGATTCAACTGTCCAACAGGTCGTCTTCCAGAGCCACTGGTTTTTGGGTTCCATGTCCGTGTCCATAAGTTTTCAATGGAACTGAAGAATTGATTATAAGAACAACGTTAATAATTATAAGAGACATATTCATGTTGGAAAATGTTCGAAATACACTTTCAAAGCTTCTCGGGTTCAAGGCTGTACTGTATAGTGTCGTTTAGCACTTTTTTTGGCGATTTCCGTCCCTACAAATAGCATGATGCCAGTTGAAACCTCCAAGCAGATGAGTAACCTTCAGGCATGCCTCGGGCGAGTCGGAGCAGGACTTCCTTTTTGAAATGGATGGTAGAACGGATGGTTTAGCAGTAAAAAAGATAAGCTATTTGCAAGTGCACAGCCAGGTAGGCCAGGTAGCCCAAAGACTCGAACCATATTCATTTGCAACCCAAAAGCCATGGAGTTCTTCATGACCATTGACCAACTCAGATGAGGATCAAACATACCAATGATCAGCCAATCCCTGGTCGCCATGGTGATCACAGGCATCCCCATGTGTCACCCTAGTGATTGGCCACGGATCTGGCATCTTCCAGGAGCAGCTCACGAAAAAGCTGATGCCGCAGCTGGTTCGCTTCGTGACGGAAGATCAGCGAGCCCTGCAGGAGTGGAACAAGTTGACATTCCAAGCGGTTGATTTTCAAGGGAAAGTCTAGCATGGTTTTTCGAAATAGGGGCTTTCCTGCGAAATCTCTCTACAGCTAATTGCTGATATTATTCATAGAGAATATATATACAACAATAATTCATAGTTCTAGTAGTACAGGATAATATGCAGATGATTCGAACAGTGTTGCCCCTCAAAAAGATTTTTTGTTTTTGGTATTTTAAAGTAAGTCTTGACAGGTACTATGCACTATAAACTTTCATTTTTTTGGGTGGAGTATATATATACACAGTATACACATTGCATATTATATATATAAAATATCATATATATATAAAATATCATATATATATATATTTATAAATATTATATATCTATATATATATGTATGCATATATATATAAATAAGCATATATATATGTATGTTAATACATTTAAGTATATATATATACAAGTACACAGTATATATATGAGTATATATATAAGTATATATATATAAGTATGTATATAAGTATATATATAAGTATATATATAAGTATATATATAAGTATATATATATAAGTATATATATACGTATATATATATAATAATATATATATATATATATATATATAAGTATATCTATAAGTATATATATACGTATATATACGTATATATATATATATATATATATATATATATAAGTCTATATATAAGTATATATAGTATCTCTCTCTCTCTATATATAAGTATATATATAAGTATATATATATAAGTATATATATATAAGTATATATATATAAGTATATATATATAAGTATATATATATAAGTATATATATATAAGTATATATATAAGTATATATGTAAGTATATATATATATGTACACTTATATTCACACAACTGGAGATATCCCAACCCCCACCAGCCAGAAGCAAACTTTTCCCAGCAGTGTGTTGTAGGATGCCTGCGAGCTCCTGACCTTCTTTGTACAGCAGTACCTCCGGGGATGGGGTTAACCATGGTGGACGTTTGGGGGGATGAACATCCATAGATCCCAGCGATTTGGGGGTTCAGCAATAGCCAAATGGAGTTGGATTGGAATTGATTCCTATGGTTTTTGCTGATGATCTGCTAATTTTCGTTGGATTTTGGCAGATTCCTCACCAGTTGTGGCATGTTTCCAGTAGCTTCTGCCAAGGCATTTTCCGGAGAATAAGGACCTGGCCGATTTGGCCAAGAAGCTCCGACCTCGGCCGTGGCTGCACCGTAAATTGTTGCGTGTGATCTTTCGTGCTGAGGCCCTCACCGAAGCGTCTTTTCAAGCTGTTGCACGGAGCCCTGGAGGGTGCTGTCGAGGTTAGCGGACAATGTGGGGGTCAAACATATTCCAAAACTTACTGGTGCTAAACGTAGGGAATGGATGGGAATTGGGGTTGCTGGGATGATTATTACTAGTGATTATGGATCATTCCCTCATTCCCTGCGTTTAGCACCAGTAAGAAAATTAAGGCTCTGAGAAGCACAGATTTTGATTCTTTGTTCAATACTAAGATGCAGTAAATCATCTGATTCTAGGACGCGTAGATGCCACATGTCGTGACGAGCCTTTGGTCTTGCTTTGGATTCAGTAGTGCTTCTGTGGGTGATGAGATCAGCTGAGGGCACCACAAGTAGACTAAGAACAGATCGGGTGTTGGGCTTTCCTTTGAGTGAGCATCCAACTGTTTGAGGAAAGCTGTTGCTTCATTTGCGAGCCCCAACTGTCGCTGGAACTGCCTTGTGGTATTGCCAGGCTGCAAACTCTTCACAGAGAAATAGGCGCCGCATTGGGAAATCAGTCGACTGTTTGCAGGATGGTGAAGGTCCCCAATTGATCATACCTTGTTCCTGGGCATTGCGGGGAGCTTGCAGGAAAAGAGGGGAAAGAGTCGGAAGAGGACGGGCTGTGAGCAGTTCGTTGCAACATTGAGATCTTCAGATCTCATCGAAAGTGCGTCGACCATTTCAGGATCAGCTGGCAATGGCCGAATTAGGTCATTGGCGTGGTGTCGTTTCCTGCAGGGAACGATCACATGTGATACCAATCAATGCTTCTACGCAGAAATGCCCATGTGGATGTGGGTCAAAATGGAAGACCGATGTGGGACCACAGATGTGAATGTCTAGTTTAGTATTAACCATCCAATTATTGAGGTACCTAATTTTGACCCATCCCCATGTGACTGTGGCGTAAATCCCATGGTCATCCCTTTGAACAGCCCGGGGATCCTCCCAGGACGAAAAAGATGATCGAGATCGTGATCGAGGCAGCTATAAAAAAAAACCATGGATGGGCATGGCATGGCAATTGGCGAAATGATCTCATATTTTGGATGTGCAAGAGAGGTATAGTTGGGTGGTTTGTGTGAAGTTTGGTGTTTGTTTGGGTTTTGTTTATAGGTCCACTGCCTACCACTGCCATCATCCTACCTAGGTGGGTAAAAACACACACAAGATCAAGCCATGGTCGTAATTGGGTTGTAAAACATTCCAGGATTTTTGGACTAACCAACTAGGGTTGTTAGCAATTCTCGATTCCCAAGATGGACATTCGAGTAGGCGTCGCAAACAGCAGTTGAATTGTGCGGATATTTCACCAACACAATCTGGAATATTGATGAATATTGTGGGTACATCCCAAACAAGGTGGATTTTCTTGGTACATCCCAAACAGAACCAGAAGACCCGAAGCCAGTTCTCCACAATTGGACAGTATCGCAGCATGAGGCCACGATCGAGAGAGGAGCTTCGAGGAGCCATGGATTAGAAATGGCGTTTGAACTTCCATTTCTGTACCAATGTTTACCCTCTGGTAAACTAGCATAGCTGCTGACATAGCTATGGAAAATGGAGCATTTATAGGTGATTTACCTATTCAAATAGTGATTTCCCATCTATGACTATGTTAGTTTACCAGAGACTATCCATTGATCAGAGACTATCCGTTGATGCCCTAATTAATGGAAACCCACAGCCTGGCAGTGCAATTCGCCCCTCCAAATCCACTTTTGGGTGCGGATCCAAATTGATAGACCTCCCTGAGCAGAAATTATCTATGACATATGTATATATAGATTACATGTATATATATACATATGTAGATAGATGCAAAAGGACAAGCCAAAACAACTGATGTTTCCTGGCAGTCTTGAGGCAAGAGTGTGCCTTCAAAACAGGTAAAGTCTGGAAATCCAGGAAATGGGAATAGAAGCAGGCAAAAGTACAGTAACTCTTTGAACATCTTCCAGCACTCTGTGTGGGATGTACTGCATGTCATCCACAGGTTGATAGAAAGCGTCCAGTCCCCGTCAGGTGACTCCGCCAATGATGGCAGGTTAAGATTCGCCCATGCTTGTGGTTGTTGGTGGTTAAAATTAGAATAGACCCAAACATCACCCAAACATCATTGTGGCGGGTTCCCCCCTTTGAAGTTCGTTAAATCATGTCAAATCTCCATGGATTGTTGGTGATTCCCATGTTCTCCGTAGCACTTCCCATTCGTCATCGATGGATTGCCATGCCATGGAAGGAGAGAAGACCGCGAGACGACAGGGATGGACGATACAGAGACGACCGAGACGGTGCGGGTGGGCATGGGCTCGAGGTGGATTACGTCCATGTGTATCACATGTGTATTTTACCAAGACATGTGAATATATGTTGTAGTATATGTATTACATATATAGACAATACATACAGATATTGATGTGTATATATATACATATCTATAATACATTATGGATATATATATATGTCCATAATGTATAATATATATATATATAGAGGTACATGTAACATGTATCTGTATGTATGTCTTTTTTTTTGTGTGTGTATATATATATTTATATCTTGCACACGCATTTACCCTAAGATCCTCACAACGGATAGTGGACACAGGACACGTTCCTCACGACATCGTGAGGCCGAGACCGCGGACGCGACCCTCGCGATGGCCGCGATGGTCGCGATGGTCGTGATGGCCGCGATGGTCGCGATGGTCGGGTGACTTGAGGCCCATGGAAACAGACTTTTGGTCATTTTTAGATTCTAGATGTTTTGCATTACGAAATTTACTGAATGATTACGGTCAATAAGGATTAATAAGGGTTAACAAGGGTTCATGATGGTTCATAATTAATCATGATTGAATTGTTGGGATCACCTAAAAGACCTGCAGATGGCGGATTGCCATGCAGAAATGGAAGGATACAAGCTGCAACTGGGGTTATGATTGGGTTCCCTGGGAAATTACCTTCGCCCATTTTCACTGTCCAATCTTTCTTGATGAAGCATATTATATATATTCATGTACATACTGTATCCCCCATGTGGGTACGGATCAAGACTCAACCTGCCTTCAAGAAGAATAGAAGTTCGGTGAACCAAACGATGAATCCCCATTTCATCCCAGCCGACTCAGCCATTCCGTTTTCCCAGGGACATCAGTGGCGGTAACCCCTTTCTCAATATCATTAGTATGAGTACGTACCCTCGTTATCATTATCATTATGTTTTTTTTCAAACGCGGTCACAGTTTCAATTACAATCACTTAATTATTTATCATCACCATTGGATCATTATGGATTATCCTCATAATGATTAGCACTATAGCATCACAAATAAGCATTACAATTATAATAATTGGATCATAATTAGAACCTGTGATTAGAATCCCATCCCCCTAAGATGAAGCACCATTCTTGTCATTCCCATTGTCCAAATAATCTTGGCATCCCCTAGGTCGCGACGGCCGGCACAACGACGGCCGGGACGGCCGGGAGGGCCGGCGGGACGAACGAGGTGGGGAGTGGGGAGTGCTATGGAAAAGATCATTGATGGGACGCTTTTTGAATGGTATAATTTGGGTGATTTAGCCACATTCTATGAGAAAAATACTGTACAAAATACCATGCAATGGCCATATTATGGACTAATCACCATGGAAATGGTGACAAAGGCGTCATTATTCCGATATGTACAGCCGTATTAAGATATGGTCGTACCCCCATGAATATTTTTTGTAGCCTGTATCTTTCGAATTCCAATAGTTGAATAGTTCAATGGTACCTAAATTGGACGTACCTACCATACATAAGGCCTCTGGGCGGAAGGGAGTTAGGACTGTACGTACAAATTTGAACTTACTTAACTTACTAAGAGAATTGTTGTTATGTAAGGGGATATCCCCAAAATATGGCTTTATATGGTACAGTACCTCTACTTTAGGGTCCTGAAATTCCCTTTGAATAGTGTTTGGATGACACTGCCCCATATAAGGTGTTTTAACCATTACACTTGTGGGGTCCACCGATGGCAGGGTTCACCCAACTGTTGTGGGTCAGAGGAAAAAGACTGTCTTAAAAAATGAGGAGGGCCCCAATGTCGACATAGTTTCCCGATTGCTCAACAGACTTTGAGCAGTGGATGTTTGGTTTACTCAACTTTGCTTGCATGATTGTTTGAGCGACTTTCATCATTTCGAGAGGACTGAAACTTTCCATTCCTAGAATTTGTCACATTTTTCAGTAACTTTCACATGTGCCTATATTTTTTCCATTCATTAATCCGGAGACATTTTCCAGGCATGGGTTCCGCTACAGCCCCCGCTGCCCAGGGCGCTTCAATGATAGACGCGCTGACCCCCGAGGTGAGCCATACCCAGTTGATCGTAATTTTGTTGTGGGGTGATACTCAAGTCAACTGGTCTTTCAGTTTGGGAGGCTTGGGCAGGGGACCTCAGCAATCTTGGATGCTACTTGGTCTTCTCTTGAACTTACACAGATACTTTTGATATCTTTTGATTCTACGGTAGCTCTTCTCTTGCGCTAGCGATACGTTCATGCTACGCTATGAGAGCGGGACCTTGGCCGCTGGGTCGTGTTATCATTTTTGCAGAGGACGACGACTGTTTGAACGTTTTTTTCCTTCAACAACCCCTTGTCCGTGCACGTTGCTGTGTTGTCTTCACATGGGTTCTTATTTCAACCCAGCAGCACCCCGAAAGATTCAAGCCTGTCGGTTCCGGAGGTCCACAAGGCGCAACCTATACATATGCATATTATATAAATTAGTTAGTATATATATATGTATATGTTTATATGTTTATATGTTTATATGTTTATATGTTTATATGTTTATAATCTATACATATGCATGGCAAGTTACACATTTTCCATCCCGTCAGGTCGTCGCCCTGGTGAGCGTTTGGCGCGTCCTGCGCGGCGCCCGGGAGGCAGGGCTCTGAGGAAAATGGCGCCCGTTCAACCAACAAAAAATGCTGGGTTTATCCGTGGAAAATGATGAAACATGGGGATTTCATGGGATTTATCCATGGAAAATGGGGATTTGATGGGATTTATCCATGGAAAATGGGGATTTGATGGGATTTATCCATGGAAAAAGGAGATTTAACCAAC